GAATTTACTGTTTATTATCTCCCACAGTTTTGCCTAATTACTTTCTTTTCCTGACTTTTTGATGTAATAATTCTTCATGTTGGCTGCCTCGCCTCTCCACAGATCCGACCCTGCTATAATAAGATTATAAAATATATCATGTAGACATAATCCTAGTCTGTCGCAGCATAAATTCCATAAAAGTTTCTCGAAATACTTTTTGTTTCACTTTGCTTTCTGTGTTTTCAGTTCTTACGTGAGGTTCGACATTCTCCAGAGGATTCTGACCCGGATGTTTGGGATCACCGTCGTTCACGCCATGGTCATCACCGACATAGACAACAAAATTATCAAAAGAAGTTTGGAGGTAAGAGAAAGACCAAAGAGAGAGACCAGAGAGAGAGAGAGACCAGAGAGAGACCAGAGAGAGACCAGAGAGAGACCAGAGAGAGACCAGAGAGAGACCAGAGAGAGAGACCAGAGAGAGACCAGAGAGAGACCAGAGAGAGACCAGAGAGAGACAGAGAGAGAGACCAGAGAGAGACCAGAGAGAGACCAGAGAGAGACCAGAGAGAGAGAGACTAGAGAGAGACCAGAGAGAGAGAGACCAGAGAGAGAGACTAGAGAGAGAGAGACCAGAGAGAGACCAGAGAGAGAGAGACCAGAGAGAGACCAGAGAGAGAGAGACCAGAGAGAGAGACTAGAGAGAGAGAGACTAGAGAGAGAGAGACTAGAGAGAGAGAGACCAGAGAGAGAGAGACCAGAGAGAGACCAGAGAGAGAGAGACCAGAGAGAGACCAGAGAGAGAGAGACCAGAGAGAGAGACCAGAGAGAGAGAGAGACCAGAGAGAGACCAGAGAGAGACCAGAGAGAGAGAGACCAGAGAGAGACCAGAGAGAGAGAGACCAGAGAGAGAGACCAGAGAGGGAGAGACCAGAGAGAGACCAGAGAGAGAGAGACCAGAGAGAGAGACTAGAGAGAGACCAGAGAGAGACCAGAGAGAGAGAGACCAGAGAGAGAGACTAGAGAGAGAGAGACTAGAGAGAGAGAGACTAGAGAGAGAGAGACCAGAGAGGGAGACCAGAGAGGGAGACTAGAGAGAGAGACTAGAGAGAGAGACTAGAGAGAGAGACTAGAGAGAGAGACTAGAGAGAGAGACTAGAGAGAGAGACCAGAGAGAGAGAGTGTTAACGTTCTTGCACGACTGTACATAGCAAACATAGACAGTAAATAGCATTCTGTGTGTGTTCAAAGGAAAAGGTGTCTCCGTCTGTTCTCACAGGAATGTTTGAGGAAGAGTTCAAGAAGGACATGCTCCGGTTAAAGGTAGATCCACAGAAACACAATCTACAAACATGTTGTTTATCTTCACTTTGATCTGTTTTGGTGATTTCTTTAGTTATCTACAGCCCTAACCCTTTGTCAGTTCACGCCAGTAGTGTTTTAAATGTGTGTGTTTTAGGTGACTCCTCCGGTTGTGTACCTCCGAGTCACCGAGAACGTCCAGAACATTGTGGCATTTATCGAGCAGATCATCAGAAATGGACACGCCTACGCAACGAGTGACGGTAACACAATCATTTTAGATTAACAACACAACTTTGACAATACAGTGGTCCCCGGTTTGTTTATAGTATGTTTTGACCACACTCTATACAAGTGAGATCTGGGAGACGTCAAACCTGCCGTATGTCTGAGCTGCTGCAGCTGTCAGAAGCCGTGCATACTGTACACTGTGAAATGGCTACAGGCAACACTATGCTGAGGGGCAGAGAGAGAGACCAGAGAGAAAGACCAGAGAGAGAGACCAGAGAGAGAGACCAGAGAGAGAGACCAGAGAGAGAGACCAGAGAGAGAGACCAGAGAGAGAGACCAGAGAGAGAGACCAGAGAGAGAGACCAGAGAGAGACCAGAGAGAGACCAGAGAGAGAGACCAGAGAGAGACCAGAGAGAGAGACCAGAGAGAGAGACCAGAGAGAGACCAGAGAGAGAGACCAGAGAGAGAGACCAGAGAGAGAGACCAGAGAGAGAGACCAGAGAGAGAGACCAGAGAGAGACCAGAGAGAGAGACCAGAGAGAGAGACCAGAGAGAGAGACCAGAGAGAGACCAGAGAGAGAGACCAGAGAGAGAGACCAGAGAGAGAGACCAGAGAGAGAGACCAGAGAGAGACCAGAGAGAGAGACCAGCGAGAGAGACCAGAGAGAGAGACCAGAGACAGACCAGAGAGAGAGACCAGAGAGAGAGACCAGAGAGAGAGACCAGAGAGAGAGACCAGAGAGAGAGACTAGAGAGAGAGACCAGAGAGAGAGACCAGAGAGAGAGACCAGAGAGAGAGACCAGAGAGAGAGAGACCAGAGAGAGACCAGAGAGAGAGACCAGAGAGAGAGACCAGAGAGAGAGACCAGAGAGAGACCAGAGAGAGAGACCAGAGAGAGAGACCAGAGAGAGAGACCAGAGAGAGAGACCAGAGAGAGAGACTAGAGAGAGACCAGAGAGAGAGACCAGAGAGAGAGACCAGAGAGAGACCAGAGAGAGAGACCAGAGAGAGAGACCAGAGAGAGAGACCAGAGAGAGAGACCAGAGAGAGAGACCAGAGAGAGAGACCAGAGAGAGAGACCAGAGAGAGAGACCAGAGAGAGAGACCAGAGAGAGAGACCAGAGAGAGAGACCAGAGAGAGAGACCAGAGAGAGAGACCAGAGAGAGAGACCAGAGAGAGACCAGAGAAAGACCAGAGAGAGACCAGAGAGAGACCAGAGAGAGACCAGAGAGAGACCAGAGAGAGAGACCAGAGAGAGAGACCAGAGAGAGACCAGAGAGAGAGACCAGAGAGAGAGACCAAAGAGAGAGACCAGAGAGAGACCAGAGAGACCAGAGAGACCAGACCAGAGAGAGAGACCAGAGAGAGAGAGACCAGAGAGAGACACCAGAGAGACGAGAGAGACCAGAGAGAGAGACCAGAGAGAGAGACCAAAGAGAGAGACCAAAGAGAGAGACCAAAGAGAGAGACCAAAGAGAGAGACCAGAGAGAGAGAGACCAGAGAGAGACCAGAGAGAGAGACCAGAGAGAGAGACCAGAGAGAGAGACCAGAGAGAGAGACCAGAGAGAGAGACCAGAGAGAGAGACCAGAGAGAGAGACCAGAGAGAGAGACCAGAGAGAGAGACCAGAGAGAGAGACCAGAGAGAGAGAGACCAGACAGAGAGAGACCAGACAGAGAGAGACCAGAGAGAGAGAGACCAGAGAGAGACCAGAGAGAGACCAGAGAGAGAGAGACCAGAGAGAGAGACCAGAGAGAGAGACCAGAGAGAGACCAGAGAGAGACCAGAGAGAGAGCCTAGAGAGAGAGACCAGAGAGAGAGACCAGAGAGAGAGACCAGAGAGAGAGACCAGAGAGAGAGACCAGAGAGAGAGACCAGAGAGAGAGACCAGAGAGAGAGACCAGAGAGAGACCCAGAGAGAGACCAGAGAGAGACCAGAGAGAGAGACCAGAGAGAGAGACCAGAGAGAGAGACCAGAGAGAGACCAGAGAGAGACCAGACTAACAGCAGTGCACACAAGCCCAGAAAGTGGCTTTCATGTTTTATAGTGTTGTATGATGTGTGTGTGTGTGATGTTGTGTGTGATGTTGTGTATGATGTTGTGTATGATGTTGTGTGTGATGTTGTGTGTGATGTTGTGTATGATGTTGTGTATGATGTTGTGTGTGATGTTGTGTATGATGTTGTGTGTGATGTGTATGATGTTGTGTGTGATGTTGTGTATGATGTTGTGTGATGTTGTGTATGATGTGTGTGTGTGTGTTGCAGGAGATGTGTATTTCGACCTTGGCTCCATCGGAGAGCGATACGGGAGGTTTGTTGGCGCGATCCCGTCTCAAGAAGCAGGTGCTTTGGTTTCATGTTCCCTTAAGTTCATATATCAATATTTATAATAATTACCTGGATTGTGTTTGTCTTTTAAAAGGGAGCTCATACAAACGCAACCCTAAAGATTTTGCTCTATGGAAGAAGTCCAAGGCCCAGGAGCCGTGTTGGGACTCTCCGTGGGGCCGAGGGAGGCCGGGCTGGCACATCGAGTGCTCCACCGTGGCCAGGTCAGCACACTGTCCTTTCTGCTCTGAGTGTGGCAAAACCTGCAGGTCAAAACCAGATAGACAGACCCCTGAAGCTGTGCAGGGCAGGGCCTGGTTAGTACTGTGATGGGAGACCTCTGGGAACACCAGGGTTCACAGTGGGGCGGCTGTTAAGGAAACTATAGTTGTGTCCTTAGGCAAGACACTTCACCCACATTGTCTAGAATGTGTCTGGTGTTTGTGAGTGGCTGCATCGCTTCTGTTAGTGAGCCCCAGGGCAGCTGTGGCTACATTAGTAGTTCACCATGGAGTGAAAGAATAATGACATATTAAGAGTCTTTGAGTGTCCAGAAAGGCGCCATATAAAACTGATTTATTATTATTATCATTATTATCATTATCATTATCATTATTATCATTATTAATCATTAGTATTATCATTAGTATTATCATTATTATTGTATAAAACCAATGTATTGTTTTTAGTTGTTATTATTTGTGTTATCTGTTTGTGTCTCTTCAGCTCAGTGTTTGGCAGCCAGCTGGACATCCACTCCGGAGGCATCGACCTGGCCTTTCCTCACCACGAGAACGAGATCGCTCAGAGTGAGGCCTACCATCAGTGCGGACAGTGGTGCAACTACTTCCTCCATTCAGGTTCTGCTCATGTTTTAGACAGCAGTGGTTTGTGCCCAGATATACAACTATCAAACTGTAGCTATGCAGCGTACGCAGGCTGGTTACCATGGGAACTATGCAGCGTACACAGGCTGGTTACCATGGGAACTATGCAGCGTACGCAGGCTGGTTACCATGGGAACTAGTAGTAAGTAAGTAAGTAAGCTTTATTTATATACCGCCTTTCACAGACCAGAGTCACAAAGCGGTTTACAATTGTTATTTTTTGGGCACTTGTCTCTCACTCCACACAGAGATGGGAGCGGGGTCGCCGAACAGGAGGTGCATGCCAGACCTATTGTACATATTTTTAGTGGTAGGGGAAACCGGAGTACCCGGAGGAAACCTACGCAGACACAGGGAGAACATGCAAACTCCACTCAGAAAGGCCCTGGTCCAGCCGGGATTCGAACCCAGGACCTTCTTGCTGAGAGGCAAGAGTGCTATCCACTCAGCCACCGTGCCGTTACCATGGGAACTATGCAGCGTACACAGGCTGGTTACCATGGGAACGATGCAGCGTACGCAGGCTGGTTACCATGGGAACGATGCAGCGTACGCAGGCTGGTTACCATGGGAACTATGCAGCGTACACAGGCTGGTTACCATGGGAACTATGCAGCGTACACAGGCTGGTTACCATGGGAACTATGCAGCGTACACAGACTGGTTCCCATGGAAACCATGCAGTGTACACAGGCTGGTTACCATGGGAACAGCAGCTTTAAACTGTTGAGTTCCGCACCCCTGTCACATGATCCCAGACAACAAAACAATGATAATAATAAAAATGTTAAAATGTATACATGGACCCACCAGTCCTACTCTACCCTACTCTACTCTACTCTAATCTACTTCACTCTGCTCTGCTCTGCTCAACTCTATTTGGTTACATTTTAGTCTATAGTACCGTATCCTAGCAACCTACCCACAACAAACCAGTATTCAGGGGAATTCCTTTCTAACCATGGCTTCCAGCACTCTGGCCAATCACAGTAGAACCAGGGCTAAGCAGGTACTAAAAATGGTCCCAATCAGGGTAGAGAAGAGCCGAGTAGGGCTTGTGGAAACGGGGCTATAGATGATGCTAACATAATTGTGCTTTGCTAACAGCTGGAATCTGCCTGTTTGTGTTTCTCACGTCTGCAGGTCATTTACACTTGAAAGGCCGAGCAGAGAAGATGTCCAAGTCTCTGAAGAATTACATCACTATAAAAGTACGAACTGCTGCCGTAAGTCTGTGTGGCTGTTTGCCTTTCCTTAAAGTCCTCGTTCCCTGTTTTCTGTCCAGGACTTCCTCCAGTCTTACTCTGCCAGCGAGTTCAGGATGTTTTGCCTCCTGACAAAATACAGATCAGGTGCGAGGTCTTTGACTCAAGTCCTCAGTCTTTGTGGTTCTCCCCTGTCTTAACGGAGGTGCGTGTGCAGGCATCGACTACAGCTCGGGCAGCATGCAGGAGGCCCGGGCGTCGCTGGAGACCGTGTCCTCCTTCATAAACAGCGCTCAGGCCTACATGAAGGGCCAGCTGACCACCGCACCCATACAGGAGGCTGTTCTCTGGGAAAAGTAAGTCACTGTCACTTTAAAGAGATAGATACTGGATTGATCCCCCGTAGAACCTTTTGGAGTTTTTTATGTTGAGGGGTTTGATAATGATAACGATGTGTTGAAATGTGACGGAAACATCAAGTCCAAAAGTCATGTCTGATAACAGAGTCCGGCAAGAGTCCGGCAAGAGTCCGGCAAGAGTCCGGCAAGAGTCCGGCAAGAGTCCGGCAAGAGTCCGGCAAGAGTCCGGCAAGAGTCCGGCAAGAGTCCGGCAAGAGTCCGGCAAGAGTCCACGTATCACTCGTATCATTTTAATGAAGCAAATGCAACTGTTCTGTAACAAACTCTATTTGAAAAGATTCCTTTAAGAATAAAAACAGACGCCACAGTTTTTAATGAGAATGAACCATTTTATTTTCCATGCACCAGGCCTGTATCAGCGCCTGTGTCAGCACCTGTATCAGCGCCTGTGTCAGCGCCTGTATCAGCGCTTGTATCAGCGCCTGTATCAGCGCCTGTGTCAGCGCCTGTATCAGCGCCTGTATCAGGGCATGTTGTGAGACGTGTCTTCAGCCGAGCAGCCAAAAAATTCTCTTCTCTCTTGCAAGTGGACCCCTTTAAAACACACAGATTCATCTGAACATTAAAGGATGAAGATGAAGTTGGCTGTATGATAAGTGCATTAGTGAGTCAGCAACAGTCCTTTCTGATGAACTGTGAAACTACAAAACAACTGGTCCTGATGCTACAATCCAACTAACAATGCTGCTACGACTGGACACTTTCAAAGATGAGTTACTCACTCAGCAGCTTGAGGAGGAAGAGGAGCAGCTTGAGGAGGAAGAGGAGCAGCTTCAGGCTCTGGTCCTGGCTCTGGTCCTGGCTCTGGTCCTGGATCCGGCCCCATCGCAGTCACTGCTCAAAGAGACAAAGTGATGAAGTCCTTTCACCTCCGACTTTAGTCAGACTGATGTTCTGAGGACAGTGACGTCTAAAGTGTATTTACCTGAGAGCAGCATGAAGAGAGCTACAACTGAAAGACAAAGGCACAGTCAACACTCTGAGGCCTACTGTGGGCCTACTGTGTCCCTCTGAGGCCTACTGTGGTCCTACTGTGTCCCTCTGAGGCCTACTGTGGTCCTACTGTGTCCCTCTGAGGCCTACTGTGGTCCTACTGTGTCCCTCTGAGGCCTACTGTGGGCCTACTGTGTCCCTCTGAGGCCTACTGTAGTCCTACTGTGTCCCTCTGAGGCCTACTGTAGTCCTACTGTGTCCCTCTAAGGCCTACTGTGGTCCTACTGTGTCCCTCTGAGACCTACTGTAGTCCTACTGTGTCCCTCTAAGGCCTACTGTGGTCCTACTGTGTCCCTCTGAGGCCTACTGTGGTCCTACTGTGTCCCTCTGAGGCCTACTGTGGTCCTACTGTGTCCCTCTGAGGCCTACTGTGGGCCTACTGTGTCCCTCTGAGGCCTACTGTGGTCCTACTGTGTCCCTCTGAGGCCTACTGTGGTCCTACTGTGTCCCTCTGAGGCCTACTGTAGTCCTACTGTGTCCCTCTGAGGCCTACTGTAGTCCTACTGTGTCCCTCTGAGGCCTACTGTGGTCCTACTGTGTCCCTCTGAGGCCTACTGTGGTCCTACTGTGTCCCTCTGAGGCCTACTGTAGTACTACTGTGTCCCTCTGAGGCCTACTGTGTCCCTCTGAGGCCTACTGTAGGACTGTGTCCCTCTGAGGCCTACTGTAGTCCTACTGTGTCCCACTGATGCCTACTGTGGGCCTACTGTGTCCCTCTGAGGCCTACTGTAGGACTACAGTAGGCCTACTGTAGGACAGTAGTACTCGGATACTCACAGGCCTACTGTAGGACTTTGTCCCTCTGAGGGACAGTCCTACAGTAGGCCTCAGAGGAACAGTAGCACAGTAGTACTCGGATACTCACAGGCCTACAGTAGTACTCGGATACTCACAGGCCAAGGCGGTGAACTTGAGAGAAGACATTTGGTCTCAGAGTGAATCCCAAACCAAGTGAGGAGCAGGTTCAGTCCTGGATGTTTTATACATTTGAGGAGGGGCCTCAGGACACGCTCTGCTGGAAGAAAAGATATACCCACAATGCACCTGTGCCAAAACAGTTAGCACTGCTGCTAATGATGACCTCATCTGTATTGACTGACAGGGACAAAGCCCTACAGCATGGGCTGAAGCAGTGCATTATGGGACATGCACAAAACATCCAAAATACAGCGCATACTCACTTGCAAAAGTATTCACCCCCTTGGCTTTTTTTGAGTGAATTGAGAAAAATATATTCATAAAACAATTTTTCAGAAATAAAAAAACTGAAAATTGGCATGTGCTTAAGTATTCACCCCCTTTGTTATGAAGCCCATAAAAAGCTCTGGTGCAGCCAACTACCTTCAGAAGTCACATACACAGTGGAATGATGTCCACCTGTGTGCAGTCTAACCCCTGGACTCCACCGGGCGCGTCTCCGTTGACGCGCGTTGGCTGCTGTCCGTCAGACGTCCGTAAAACGGACTAGTGGTCAAACCGGCTGCAGCTGCGCGCAGCTCTGGCTGTGCGTTTATCAGCCTGCTTTGTTTTTGTAGGAGACACGTTTGGGCATTGTGTGAATGAATGAATATTTGGCTGATGAAGAAGTGTGTGTGTGTGTGTGTGTGTGCGCGCGCGCGCGTGCCCGCAGCGTTTATTATGATCCAGCCTCTTCGTTTGTTTTCTACTTATTTAGCGCGTCATACACTTTTATCTGACCCAACTCCCCTCTCCGCAACTTTAGGCAACAGACAGCCGCTATAGTTTTAAATAGAAGAAGCAGTGTGTGATGTGCATGAGCTGTGGCTATGATCAATGCAAAGCACAGCACATTGAAGCATTGAGGATTGATGGATTGATGGATGAGGCAAAACTTATTGAAAGCAAAAAGGGGAGAGAGAAAAGAGAAAAGAACTCCAGTGTTGTTGTGAGATCTGTCTTTCATAAGTGCAGTATAGCTCTGTGTGTGTGTGTGTGTGTGGCAGTGAGGAGAGAGCGCCTCGGAGGTAGAGGGGACAGAGCGAGAGAAAAAAGAGCGAGGTGTATGTAAAGATTAGCGTATTTACATTACGCGAAAAATGAATGGTAGATTTACGATCAGGAAACAATTGTTTAAAGTAATACATGAAGAAAATTACACAGGTTTGTTAATAATCATTGTCATTAACAAATACTTATAACCAAGGGCTACAGCATATATCAATACATGTTTAATAATGTGGCAAATATATTATTCCATTGTATTTTCAATGGAAAACGGACCCGACACGCGTCGACGGAACAAATAGGACTGTTTCTATTTCGTCCGTCTGCGTCCGTTGCACCCTCCGTTAACGGAATACGTCCGACGTGCATCAGACGGACGCATGCGGAGGCAGTGGAGCCACTTCCATTCACCCTCATGGAGATAACGGAGACGGAGATGAAACGGACATGTTTGGACGGATCCGTCGTCCGTTTTACGCGCCCGGTGGAGTCGGGGCCTAAGAGTCACATGATCTGTCAGTACATACAGTGCCTTGCGAAAGTATTCGGCCCCCTTGAACCTTTCAACATTTCGCCACATTTCAGGCTTCAAACATAAAGATATAAATTTTTAATTTTTTGTCATCAATCAACAACAAGTGGGACACAATCGTGAAGTGGAACGAAATTTATTGGATAATTTAAACTTTTTTAACAAATAAAAACTGAAAAGTGGGGCGTGCAATATTATTGGGCCCCTTTACTTTCAGTGCAGCAAACTCAGTCCAGAAGTTCAGTGAGGATCTTTGAATGATCCAATGTTGTCCTAAATGACTGATGATGATAAATAGAATGCACCTGTGTGTAATCAAGTCTCCGTATAAATGCACCTGCTCTTTGATAGTCTCAGGGTTCTGTTTAAAGCACAGAGAGAACCATGAAGACAAAGGAACACACCAGGCAGGTCCGAGATACTGTTGTGGAGAAGTTTAAAGCCGGATTTGTAGTGATGTGCTGAGCGTGCCGGGTCTTCGAAGCGTGTACCGAGTAAAAAAGGGGCGTATTTTTTGTAGCGTGGTTCGAGGCGTGTGTTGGTGACGTGTGTGGTGACGTTCGAAGCCTCGCGTAGCGGCCGCACCACGTGACGGTTCATATAGTGCTTCATATCGTTCGGAGAGTGCATTGCTTTGACAGGTGCTTTGTGATCCGCGGCTGTACCATAGACTGTATTGGCTGTCCCCGTCTGCCTCTGTGTGCGTACGTGTGTGTGCGTACGTGTGTGTGCGTGATGTGGAGCAGTCCTGTACTAAGTATAGAGAAACAACTTCATATGAAATACAATTAAAAACGTTTCACTTTAGTAAAACCTCATATATCAAGGCTTCAAGTTATCAGTAATAATACGCTGGATAATACATTTCACAACAACTGTGTGGCGCAGTCGGTATATGACGGACTCCGAAGTAGAAGATATAGCGTTTGAATCCTGGTTTACCCATAATAAATGTTGTGTTGCAAAGTAAATGTATTTATTTATTGGGAATAAATGGTTTGTTGTGTTTAATTAATCCACCTCTTGGTAGTTTTTCCTCCATTAATCACTTTCTGTAGAACTGTATTACTTTGGATGTGTTTGTTGTATCAACACAATTGACTGAAAGACTCAAATAGTTCATAGTTCATGAAGCATCATTTCAAACACAACACGTTAGACCATAGATTGTAAATATACATTTTAACATTAGATCTCACCATTCATTGTAAGCCCTTAAGAGTGTTATGTATTTTTTTGTCCACATGATGGCGTAGTGGAGCATGATTCACCTCGAGCCTTCGACTCATGGGCCGAGTAATAGGCTGCAAACCCTCAATGCATCATGGGGCTTCATATTGCCATCACTACGGATTTGGATACAAAAAGATTTCCCAAGCTTTAAACATCTCAAGGAGCACTGTGCAAGCAATTATATTGAAATGGAAGGAGTATGAGACCACTGCAAATCTACCAAGACCCGGCCGTCCCTCCAAACTTTCATCTCAAACAAGGAGAAGACTGATCAGAGATGCAGCCAAGAGGCCCATGATCACTCTGGATGAACTGCAGATAACTACAGCTGAGGTGGGAGAGTCTGTCCATAGGACAACAATCAGTCGTGCACTGCACAAATCTGGCCTTTATGGAAGAGTGGCAAGAAGAAAGCCATTTCTCAAAGATATCCATAAAAAGTCTGGTTTAAAGTTTGCCACAAGCCACCTGGGAGACACACCAAACATGTGGAAGAAGGTGCTCTGGTCAGATGAAACCAAAATCTAACTTTTTGGCCACAATGCAAAACGATATGTTTGGCGTAAAAGCAACACAGCTCATCACCCTGAACACACCATCCCCACTGTCAAACATGGTGGTGGCAGCATCATGCTTTGGGCCTGCTTTTCTTCAGCAGGGACAGGGAAGATGGCTAAAATTGATGGGAAGATGGATGGAGCCAAATACAGGACCATTCTGGAAGAAAACTTGTTGGAGTCTGCAAAAGACCTGAGACTGGGACGGAGATTTATCTTCCAACAGGACAATGATCCAAAACATAAAGCCAAATCTACAATGGAATGGTTCACAAATAGACGTATCCAGGTGTTAGAATGGCCAAGTCAAAGTCCAGACCTGAATCCAATCCAGAATCTGTGGAAAGAGCTGAAGACTGCTGTTCACAAACGCTCTCCATTCAACTTGAAGGAGCTGGAGCAGTTTTTAAGGAGGAATGGGCAAACATCCCAGTGGTAAGATGTGGAAAGCTCATAGAGACTTATCCAAAGAGACTTGGAGCTGTGACTGCTGCAAAAGGAGCTCTACAAAGTATTGACTTTAGGGGGTGAAGAGTTATGCACATTCACCTTTTCTGTTATTTTGTCCTTTTTGTTGTTTGCTTCACAATAAAAAAAGACATCTTCAAAGTTGTGGCATGTTTTGTAAATTAACTGATGCAAATCCTCAAACAATCTTCATTCCAGGTTGTGAGGAAACAAAACACACAAAATGCCAAGGGGGTGAATACTTTTGCAACTCACTGTATATCAGTCTGAAACGTATTATACACATTTAATGTCATTTAATGTGACTTTTCTGGAGCTCGTGTGAGATTAGACCCAGATATAGGTTCTGTCAAAGTCACAGCATGAAGCTGGAGAAGTAGAATATTTGAATAAATGTAAGATAGAAGCATTTGAAGTCATAACCTGCATGGTACAGTTATTTTAGTTATTATTAATCATGGACGACTTTACTCATCTCTCAGTGAAGACTAAAGCTGATGCCAGCTCTAACTCTGGGCCGATGCTGAAAAACATATATGTTTAAGGAGATTTGTATAAATATTGAATATATTCAATATTCAACCGTCTTTAAACATTTCATGAATAAAACATAAAAGCAGTGTTGACTTTGGCATTGTCATTTATTCTGTTTTTTAGTGTTTTACTGCAGTGACGTGAGCTTTGGACAGTGTGGATACATGACGGAGCTTTATGTCTTTGATCCATTAACAACATGTGCCTCAGATGCAGAAATCTGAAAGAAACAGTTGCGATCTGAGAGCGATGGATTGGAGAGGAGACGTATTCCCTAAAACCCAAATGTTACTCAATAATAATAATAATTACTCTCCAAACACAGTGATGATGAACTACTGTAGCCACAGCTGCCCTGGGGCACACTGACAGGCCCCTCCCACCACCACCAACCATCACACACACTCTAATGTGGGGGAAGTGTCTTGCCTAAGGACACAACCACAGTTTGGCACTTTACAGCCGCAGCCGCCCCACTGCGTTCCCCGAAGTCTCCCATCGCAGTACTGACCAGGCCCGTCCCTGCTTAGCTTCAGACGTCTGATGGGAACTGGCTTTCACCTACAGGTGGCGCCACAAGTCCAGAATTTTGGACATTTTTCTCTTTTTTGTTTGTTTATTTCTTGTTTTAATCAAAGGCGAACTTAAAGCTGGGGTATCTAACTTTTGTTTCATGAATAGTCTCCGTCCCACTCGGAAATGTCTTCACAAGAAACCACAGTCCTGTTTATTCTCTTCAGACTCAGCGTTTGTCCTTCTGCTGTTGGCGGCGTCATATTTATTGGTATATACTGTGTGTTGTGTTGTGTTGTGATGTGTTGTGTTGTGTTGTGTTCAGGCTGCAGCAGACCAAAGTCTCTGTGACCTCTGCTCTCTCTGATGACTTCGACACGCCCAGAGCCTGCAGCGCTCTGCTCAGCCTGGTCCATCACGGCAACTGCCAACTCCAGCCCGTCGCCGCGGTGACAAGCCCGGCCCATTACGGCAACTGCCAACTCCAGCCCGTCGCCACGGTGACAGCTCTGACATTAACCCATCACAATCCTCTGCATTTAGCTTCAAACTTACTGTTATGTATTTACTTATGATTATGTGTGTGTGTGTGACTCTGTGTGTGTGCGCGTGTGATTCTTTGTGTGTGCGCGTGTTTGACTCTGTGTGTGTGTGCGCGTGTGTGTGACTGTGTGCGCGTGTGTGTCTCTCTGTGTCTGTCTGTCTCTGTGTGTTTGTCTTTGTGTGTGGGTGTGTCTGTGTGTGCGTGTCTCTCTGTGTGTGTGTGCGTGTATGTGTGTGTCTCTGTGGGTGGGTGTGTCTCTCTTTGTGTGTGTGTGTCTCTCTGTGTGTATGTGTGTGTGTCTCCCTGTGTGTGTGTGTGTCTCCATGTGTGTGTGTCTCTCTCTGTGTGTGTGTGTGTGTGTGTGTCTCTCTATGTGTGTGAGTGTGTGTGTGTCTCCCTGTGTGTGTCTCTCTCTCTCTGTATGTGTGTGTGTCTCTCCCTCTGTATGTGTGTGTGTCTCTGTGTGTGTCTCTCTCTCTCTCTCTCTCTCTCTCTCTCTCTCTCTCTCTCTCTCTGTGTGTCTCTCTCTGTGTGTGTGTCTCTCTCTCTCTGTGTGTGTGTGTCTCTCTCTCTCTGTGTGTGTGTGTGTCTCTCTCTCTCTGTGTGTGTGTGTCGTGCAGAGTCCTGCAGCGCCCCCTGGCTGTGCAGTGGTGGGGGCTGTGGTGAGCTACATCCAGCAGCTCTTTGACCTGTTTGGGATGGACACGTTGAAGAGCACGGTCAGTGAGACACAGTCACATGACATGGGACGCTCATATTAAAGCTGGGGTACCTGACTTTTGAACCGTCATAATGAAAGTATGTTAAGACTCTTTCTGTTGGGACAAACCAAATGTGTCCAGATTGATGACAATAATGTGAGGTTTTCTGTGTCATACACGTTGATGATGATTGGTTCGTAAAGGCTACAGTTTCATGTTTTTATTAGTCTTGGGCCCAAAGAGGTTGGGGGACACTGCTCTAATCAATAAAATACAAATATTGCCAAACTCTGTGGTTCCCTTGAGAAAGTGAAAGAGTTGTTTCTGCAGCTGGCTCTGAGTGAGAAGGGTCTGTTGTTCTGACTGCTCTGAATGATTCCTCTCGGCTCTTTTGCGACGGCAGGAGGCAGCGGCCGGCGAGAGCGAGCAGACGGTGGCGGCCGTAGCAGAGCGGCTGACACGGTTCAGGAGTGAGGTGCGGGCGTTCGCTCTGAGGCCGCAGGAGAGCAGCGGTGAAGGGGGTAAAGCGGGTCTTCACCCCGACAGAGTGCCCCTGCTGAAGGCCTGCGACACGCTGCGGGATCAGCTGGCTGCTCTCGGGCTGGTTATTAAGGTAATTATGGCTGAACAGGAAGGCAAGTTTATTGGTATAGAAAAGTTCATACATAGAAACTCAAAGTGCTGAACTAAACAAGAAAAGAAACATTCCAATCATGAATAATTCCAGTAGAATAAAAACAGATACAATCCTTGAGTGGTATTCACAGCTTCATCAAACTGTTTTAAGCTCACACTGAACACTGCCTGTTACTGAGTGAACTCTTTTATGGACACAGAAGAATGAAAGTGTGGCTGAGACCAGAGGATTAAAGAGCTGATGTTCTGTTCCAGGACAGAGGAGCCTCGTCCACCTGGGAGATCACCCAGAGAGGACTGAAGCCCCCCGAGGAAAACCAGTCTGAATGAACCCAGAGAGGACTGAAGCCCCCCGAGGAAAACCAGTCTGAATGAACCCAGAGAGGACTGAAGCCCCCCGAGGAAAACCAGTCTGATCTAACCCAGAGAGGACTGAAGCCCCCCGAGGAAAACCAGTCTGATCGAACCCAGAGAGGACTGAAGCCCCCCGAGGAAAACCAGTCTGATCGAACCCAGAGAGGACTGAAGCCCCCCGAGGAAAACCAGTCTGATCGAACCCAGAGAGGACTGAAGCCTCCCGAGGAAAACCAGTCTGATCGAACCCAGAGAGGACTGAAGCCCCCCGAGGAAAACCAGTCTGATCGAACCCAGAGAGGACTGAAGCCTCCCGAGGAAAACCAGTCTGATCGAACCCAGAGAGGACTGAAGCCCCCCGAGGAAAACCAGTCTGATCGAACCCAGAGAGGACTGAAGCCCCCCGAGGAAAACCAGTCTGATCGAACCCAGATCTACATCCGCTTTCATTCATTTCATTGTCATTAGATAAGATGGATACTTTATTGTTCTTCGTTTACACAAGAACAACATTATTATTATTGAAAGACTGATTTCAAAGTTTTAAATTCACACTGAGATGACTTTATCAATCTAATTAGATCAGAGGAGGTTCAGTTTCCACTGGTGCCCAGAGGATCCAGCTTCTGTCGGCTTTGGGACTTTATCTTCCATGTTTCACTGTCTCAGAATCTGTGATGACCAAATGTATGTGTAAATATGGTCTTTTTCTACACATGGACTGTGACATTATTGACAATGTAGCTAATATATGTAATGAAACTAAGGCAGGTTCTGATTTCTGTGTCTTACTCTATTTGAAAAGAAGAATAAAAACAGACGCCACAGTTTTTAATGAGAATGAACCATTTTATTTTCCATGCACCAGGCCTGTATCAGCGCCTGTGTCAGCGCCTGTCAGCGCCTGTGTCAGCGCCTGTATCAGCGCCTGTATCAGCGCCTGTATCAGCGCCTGTCAGCGCCTGTGTCAGCGCCTGTATCAGCGCCTGTATCAGGGCATGTTGTGAGACGTGTCTTCAGCCGAGCAGCCAAAAAATTCTCTTCTCTCTTGCAAGTGGACCCCTTTAAAACACACAGATTCATCTGAACATTAAAGGATGAAGATGAAGTTGGCTGTATGATAAGTGCATTAGTGAGTCAGCAACAGTCCTTTCTGATGAACTGTGAAACTACAAAACAACTGGTCCTGATGCTACAATCCAACTAACAATGCTGCTACGACTGGACACTTTCAAAGATGAGTTACTCACTCAGCAGCTTGAGGAGGAAGAGGAGCAGCTTGAGGAGGAAGAGGAGCAGCTTGAGGAGGAAGAGGAGCAGCTTGAGGAGGAAGAGGAGCAGCTTCAGGCTCTGGTCCTGGCTCTGGTCCTGGCTCTGGTCCTGGATCCGGCCCCATCGCAGTCACTGCTCAAAGAGACAAAGTGATGAAGTCCTTTCACCTCCGACTTTAGTCAGACTGATGTTCTGAGGACAGTGACGTCTAAAGTGTATTTACCTGAGAGCAGCATGAAGAGAGCCACAACTGAAAGACAAAGGCACAGTCAACACTCTGAGGCCTACTGTGGGCCTACTGTGTCCCTCTGAGGCCTACTGTAGTCCTACTGTGTCCCTCTGAGGCCTACTGTGTCCCTCTGAGGCCTACTGTGGTCCTACTGTGTCCCTCTGAGGCCTACTGTGGTCCTACTGTGTCCCTCTGAGGCCTACTGTGGTCCTACTGTGTCCCTCTAAGGCCTACTGTGGTCCTACTGTGTCCCTCTGAGGCCTACTGTAGTCCTACTGTGTCCCTCTGAGGCCTACTGTGTCCCTCTGAGGCCTACTGTGGTCCTACTGTGTCCCTCTGAGGCCTACTGTAGTCCTACTGTGTCCCTCTGAGGCCTACTGTGTCCCTCTGAGGCCTACTGTGGTCCTACTGTGTCCCTCTGAGGCCTACTGTAGTCCTACTGTGTCCCTCTGAGGCCTACTGTGGTCCTACTGTGTCCCTCTGAGGCCTACTGTAGTCCTACTGTATCCCTCTGAGGCCTATTGTGTCCCTCTGAGGCCTACTTTAGGACTACAGTAGCACAGTAGTACTCGGATACTCACAGGCCTACAGCAGTCCTACAGTTGCACAGTAGTACTCGGATACTCACAGGCCTACTGTAGGACTGTGTCCCTCTGAGGGATAGTCCTACAGTAGGCCTCAGAGGAACAGTAGCACAGTAGTACTCGGATACTCACAGGCCTACAGTAGTACTCGGATACTCACAGGCCAAGGCGGTGAACTTGAGAGAAGACATTTGGTCTCAGAGTGAATCCCAAACCAAGTGAGGAGCAGGTTCAGTCCTGGATGTTTTATACATTTGAGGAGGGGCCTCAGGACACGCTCTGCTGGAAGAAAAGATATACCCACAATGCACCTGTGCCAAAACAGTTAGCACTGCTGCTAATGATGACCTCATCTGTATTGACTGACAGGGACAAAGCCCTACAGCATGGGCTGAAGCAGTGCATTATGGGACATGCACAAAACATCCAAAATATATCAGTCTGAAACGTATTATACACATTTAATGTCATTTAATGTGACTTTTCTGGAGCTCGTGTGAGATTAGACCCAGATATAGGTTCTGTCAAAGTCACAGCATGAAGCTGGAGAAGTAGAATATTTGAATAAATGTAAGATAGAAGCATTTGAAGTCATAACCTGCATGGTACAGTTATTTTAGTTATTATTAATCATGGACGACTTTACTCATCTCTCAGTGAAGACTAAAGCTGATGCCAGCTCTAACTCTGGGCCGATGCTGAAAAACATATATGTTTAAGGAGATTTGTATAAATATTGAATATATTCAATATTCAACCGTCTTTAAACATTTCATGAATAAAACATAAAAGCAGTGTTGACTTTGGCATTGTCATTTATTCTGTTTTTTAGTGTTTTACTGCAGTGACGTGAACTTTGGACAGTGTGGATACATGACGGAGCTTTATGTCTTTGATCCATTAACGTAGAGAGACGTATTCCCTCAAACCAAAGGTTACTCCATAATAATAATAATAATGATAACTGAAAGATTCATATGTCATTATGTCACAGCTGCCCTGGGACACACTGACAGAAGCAAGGCAACCAGTCTGTGCCATCGGCATAACTTTTGTTTCGTAAATAGTGCATTTCCGCTTGGAAAAGTCTTGTAAAAGTAAATCCTTGTGAAGAGAGCCTTGTCTCTATTGAAGAGATAAGAAATTATAGTAACTTGGACTTTATTAGTAACTTTTGTTGTGGTTTGAAAGTTACGCAGCCTGTCTTTAATCCAGAGTCTTTCCGTCTGTGATGTTCCTGAGCTCTGACAGAGTCGCTTTAGTCCACGGCGTTTTCTGCTTCTTCACTATTTTAACCATCACAGGACAGCACAGCTAGGTTTAAAACAGTCCTCTTTAGTTTAGCATATGGCTAGGAAGGTAAGACTCGGAGAAGGTTAAACTCCTCAGAGTGTTAGTCAAGCTGCATAGGGCGCCCCCTGCTGGAGAAGTATGGTAACTTGAGCACTATCCTCTCCTCCTTCCTACTTTATCTGTTTAGCATTTTTAGGATTCTGACTGTAGTTTGTTCATTGCTATTCACCCGTTGTCCCATTGTCTGTTTCATGGTACGATGACGGGATCTCTGAGCCTGGCCTCTTCCATCTACACCTGCGGACTGCCCCGCCCGACCCGCCTGGGAGTGCTTCAGTCCTGCACCGGACCTGTCCACGTTCAGCGGCCACTGGTCCACGTTCTGTAGCTTAGGTCCTGGATCATTAGCCTGTCCGTCCGGAGGAGCGGATCCCTTTCTCATATGGGTCTCCCTCCCTGTGGGTTTCCCTAGTGCTCCCCAAGGTTTCTCACTTTTTCCCACTGGGTTTTTTAAGAGTTGTTCCTTGTCGATGCAGGAGGGTCTTGTTGGACAGTTAGTGTCCAACAGAAAGGATTGGTGATGATCAGGACACTTTAGCATTCTACAACATGTATGGACATTTTCTTCTGTGTGTGCTTTATATTCTTCATGTGTTTTAACTGTTGATTCTCTGACCTGTGTTGGTGATTTCAATGGTTTTGTTAAGTCTCTGAGATGATACTGTTGTGACCTAGGGCTATACAAGAATACATTGTATTGTATTTTATTTACATAGCGCCCCTCAGAGCCCAGGGTCACAAAGCGCTTCACATAGTATAAAAACAGACATACACATTTTTAAATGCTAAACAACCGTGTAAATAACAGCAAGACAAAATTATGCAAAAGCCTGAACAATTTAATTCAACTTTATTACAGACTCTAGGTCCAATTTAAAACATACAGACAAGACAAAAGAAGATAACAAACAGGTCTGACTTTAAAAGACAGCTATACCAGTGTCTCCATATCTTGGACTGCACTCGAGTGGCACTGAACCTGATGTTTGTCAGCGCTAAAATTATTACATTTTCTGATTTATTCAGCCGACAATTGAAAGTGTACATAAGGTTCCTCACCACAGCTTGTAAAGTGTTCAGTCGGTGACAAACAGCTCAGATGCACTGGTCATTATAGGCCCCCTGCAGCTTGTGCACACTGGCTCTTTTACAGTTAGTCCACAGTTAGTCCACACTCTGACATCAGCTGAGCAGAAGCTGAATTTAGGCATGAGAGTGTTGCAGGCCAACACTCTCATGCCTAAATTCAGCTTACATACAGCATCCTGCACTGTGTGGTGTGTGGTGTAGAAGAAGAAGCCCATTCTTTATGTAGGTCTTAACAGGAGAACAGTTTACATCCAGCAAACTGTCATGCTTCTTCAGCGATGCATTACATGAACCGGAACTGCGCCCCCTAGTGGCATAAGCATAGAACACAACACACTGTGAACGTCACTGTCATCAGTCATGTCTGCAGTGATGACACACCCAAGATACTTTGCTTTAGTTGTAACATTTAAAACATTATCAAGCCAAAAGTCAGGAAACCTCCTGAGCCATACTCTGCATTCAACCTGATGTCATGCTCATACTCTGAAGTGGATGGATTATTAAATTTATTATTACGATGGTGAATGAAAGGGGTGGCGGTGCGTCCGTCACTCACCAAAACGTGACGGTTGCGTGCGTAAACTCAAATGCTTTAAAATGATGTATCATGTGCCATTGAAACCAATATTGTTTTTGCTCGAGACGTCAAACCTCTTTGAGCCTTCATTTGACCTCCTGAAAACTTGCAAAATGTTTCCCAAAATCAGACCTGGCAAAAAATTAATTATTTTGGTGTATATTTTTATGGGACTAAAACAATGCTGGAACAGTGCCCCCTACAAAAGCCAAATTATTCAGCCTATGGGAATTGTCCGAGGTCAAGTTTGTTGTAAAGCCATGAAATGTGTTCAAGTCAAGTCAAGAAAAATAAGTTATTATGGCCCCGCCCCCTGACAAACAAGAAATCGCTCCACATCATCTCAACACATGAACCTTTAAAATGACTTCAGGGATTTTTGATCAGTGAAACATTGTTTGAGCAGCTCCTGTTCAACTCCAGGGTCCAGGTCATTTGAAAGTGAAATAATTTAAATTGGCCCATTAGCGCCCCCTACGGACTATGTCAAAGTTTTACATGGGGATAATCACATTTAATTTTTTCCAAAGGTTTGAAATTTTGCACATAATTCTGTTTTGCCCTCTTGATTCAAAAAGTCAAGACTTATTTTCAACCCTGTTGCCGTGGCGACGAAAAACGCCCCCCATTCTGTGTCTATGACAAATGTACACCGCGCGCAAACCTCAGACCAGCCTCGGCCGTTTCACAGATTTGGCTGAAAATCGCTCCACATCATCTCAACACATGTACCATCAATAGTTGTTCATAGAATTTGGATTAGTCACATCAGGGGTGCTCACACTTTTTCAGCATGCGAGCTACTTATAAAAGGATCAAGTCAAAATGATCTACCTACTACAAAAATGCAAAACATATTCTTTATATCTACAATGTATGTTTATGTACATGCAAAACCGCATGAGCCAATATAGCACAACACAACACAATTACCTATGTACATTTTTTGTCATTACCCGAGTTTACTCTGATGACTTGCACTGAATTGAATCGGCCAGGGATGCATAGTCCGGAAAATTGGTGGTAACCATGGATCTATTATATTAACTGGATAGGGTTTTACAGCTTGTAGCTGAATAACTCACGTGCTCAGGGGATTCTCGCGGTACTGCAGACTGAACCAGACTGAACCAGACTAAATTCACGTGGGCTACCCAGAAATGTTCCCCATAGAACTCAATGCATATTAAAGCAGCTCAACCTCAGCTGACAGAGAACCTGACAGAGAACCTGACAGAGAACCTACAGCTTTAATAAAGATCGGATTTTGTGGGGATTTTAGTGTCCCTTGTCGTCCTGAACTTTTTTTCTTCTTAAATCCTTCTGTTTTGTTTAAATCCACACTTTAGTGCCACAAACTCTGCTCCTCTGGCTCTCGCTCTAACTCCCGCTCTGATGAACTGCTCTGATTGGTCAGAGCGCGGCCGAGCCCCTCTGTGCACGTGCGTGAGACCCGGTGTGAGACCCACACACGCGTGTTTGACGCAAAGCATTATGAGAGATCATCCACTGCACAGAACCGGGAGGACCCAAGCCCCGGCGATCCAAGATGGCGCCCTATTCAAATGAATGGTTGTGCTCAGTGGCGCTTTGTGACAGCATGGGGGCTGAAAGATTAGCGGAAGTCGCCTGGAACTCTCAAAGATCTATGGGAAACTCTCCTGTATTTGGGCATCGTCTGGTCCTCCCGGTTCTGTGCAGTGGATGATCTCCCATAATGCATTGCGTCAAACACGCGTGTGTGGCTCTCACGCACGTGCACAGAGGGGCTTACGCACGTGCACAGAGGGTCTTACGCACGTGCACAGAGGGGCTCGGCTCTGACCAATCAGAGCAGTTCATCAGAGCGGGAGTTAGAGCGAGAGCCAGAGGAGCAGAGTTTGTGGCACTAAAGTGTGGATTTAAACAAAACAGAAGGATTTAAGAAGAAAAAAGTTCAGGATGACAAGGGACACTAAAATCCCCACAAAATCTGACCTTTATGAAAGCTGTAGGTTCTCTGTCAGGTTCTCTGTCAGCTGAGGTTGAGCTGTTTTAATATGCATTGAGTTCTATGGGGAAAATTTCTGGGTAGCCCACGTGAATTTAGTCTGGTTCAGTCTGGTTCAGTCTGCAGTACCGCGAGAATCCCCTGAGCACGTGAGTTATTCAGCTACAAGCTGTAATACC